TTCTAGAGTATTCGTGCATATTGTACAAGTGGCTGGAACCACTAATGGAACACAAAATGGGACTCGAGATTAGAACCTGGGACTTGGGACTGGGACCTAGGACTCAGGACTCGGGACTCGAGATTAGAACTTGGGACTTGGGACTGGGACCTGGGACTTGGGATTAGAACCTGGGACTTGGGACTGGGGACTCGGGATTCGGGAGTGTGGCACAGCGTGGGCAGATTCCGGTACCTTCTTCACTTCCACAATCATCGGCCGCTGCTACAGGACAGCCACATGTACAGCAGCCTGTGCAACAATTACCCGTGCAACAGCAAGTGTTGCAATAGACTGGTCCATTGGTTTCACAGCTAACGCAACAGGGATGGGTTGTTATACAACCCATGGAGTGGACCCTCAAGATACCCTTGCTGAGTCCTAAACCCTTCTCTAGCGACAAAAAGAAGGAAGAGGACCTAAATACCTGGGTGAAGACTGTGCCCACGTACGTGAGGCATAAGCTCACAAGGACCGAGGAAGAAGGTATAGTTGTTGCATCCTTTTTAGAAGGATCTGCAGCCAAATGGCTGAACGGAATAGTACAGCAGATACGGTCATAACTTCAATGGCTGGACACAGGCTCGACCATTGGAAGAGTTCGTACGAATGGTCTATAACAGGTGGCATGACCCCCAGGGGGATGAGAAGGCCACCGATTCACTAGCTAGTCTAGGATCAAAAAGATTCCGGACCGTTCGTGAGGTTACAAACGCCATAGAGTGACTGATTGTTGTTCCTGGTGTGCGGTACGATCCGCAGGTCCTCCTCAACTTATTTGTGATGCCTGCCCACATATGTCAAAAATAAGTTGGTCGACGAGGCCTCCATAGATGTACATAACTTCGCCTCGTTCAGCAAGAAGGCCTTAGACATAGAGGCTAAGCTTGGGAGTGCCCAGTAGGGACCGACAAATGGAATGAAGAAGAAGATTCCTCAAGACTAGAGAAAGAAGGGCAACCTCATGTTCGTTGACCACAATAGTCAAGCGACTGAGATTGACGACTTCTCTGACCTTGGGGAAAAGACAAAGGTAGATGGGAGTAGTATAGACACTTCAGATGGTGGAGTAGTCGATCCTGTCAAGGAAAAAGCTAAGGGGCTGGAAAACAAAAGGCAAGCCGGCCCAAGGGTCAATATGACCAAGGAACACCCATTTGGGTAAAGCTTGGTCTAGACTACGAGGTGTGGCGAGACCATGTTGCTCGAGGAGCTTGCCTCAATTGTGGCAAGTATGGGCACACAATGGCCAAATGCAAGAGGAAGAGGGCCGCTATGAACACTTCATCTACCTTCATGGTAGAAGTCAATGTACGTGGCCGAAAGGTTGGCGCCTTCGCAGACATAGATTCTACACGAAACTTCATCAGTTGTGCTTGTGTGGATAGTCTGCGCTTAGGGGACCAAGTGCAGGGGCTTAGCACATTTGTGGCATCTACCTTAGCCAACAAGCACTCTATGGTAGTAAAGGACTACGCCAAGGACGTAGTCTGCACCTTCTCCTATGGAGGAGGGGAACTGAGACAAAATCTCGTTCCTTGTTAGTGACGAGCTGCCATTTCACATGTTGCTAGGCATGTACCACCTCCAGGTTGCTAAGCCTCAATTCGATTGGAATAGGAAGGTAATGATCCACAAGTTACCAGATGGAAGGACCGTTAGGCTGCAAAAGTTTAAGGTTAGCCGACTAGTGGAAAACTATGGTTGCATGTGCGCGTCATCTTTCTATAACTACAACAAGCAGAATCATGAGGAAGGTATGTACTTAGTCTTTGTCTCTGAGAAAGGGGAGGCCGTAAAATCACCCCCAGAGATAGAAGCAGTCATTGCACAGTATTCAGACCTTTTTGAGGAGCATAGGGTTGTGGTAGATAGAGAGATTGTCCACGCGATAGAAGTTGTCCCCGGCAGAGGACGTCTTCCGAAGCCACAAATGCAGTACCGGGCGCGGATCAGACACCACACTGATCCTCAAGAAGATCGGTGGTTCACAAGCGAAGAATTAATGAAGACTACTTCCCAAATTGTCTCAAGTTATGAAAGAAATTTGAAAGGGAAGCGGCCTGCGACATAACGACTTCTCAAAGGACTATCGAAGAAAAGGAGGACGAAGTGCGAGGGTTTAACCCCTCGGGATATGGCCTTGCAGCAGGCGCGTGCCCGCCCTAAGTGAAGACGGGCCCCCTGAATCTCAATGCGCCCTGAATTCATCAATTTTTGCAAATCTTGGTCGGCGCCAGACAGTTGCCAAGCGCCAGTAGGTTACATCACCTTGCATGTGAGAATGGGAAAGATTTGTGAGCCTTCTAGACCCTTCCAGCAACGTGGGGTAAGCAGGGAGCGTCACACGATTGTGCCTGGGTGGCTGGGCATGCCTAACCAAATCGGTGCCAGGCCACTGTTTGAACGGGCCTGGGCACAGACACCTTGGCCAAGACTGAAGCTACTGGGAACTCGGTCTCACGTGTGTGTGGCAAGGCTAAGTGCCCGCCACTTTCCATATAGGAAAGGGTCGGGCGCCGGGTTTGCCATTCGGGCACTTGCAAGTTGCGGGCGACAGTGCTGCTGGAGCGATTGCTCGCGGGCTGCTAGCTGCGCTAGTGCAAGCGCGCGTGCACATGCAGACGTGAAAGGTGTAGTGCGCTGCTGAGGGCAGCGCCATAGCCAGCCCCACGTAGCCAGGGCTCGGCTTGGACATAGCCAGTGGAGGTGGTGGTGGTCTTCATGTATGGGAGGAAGACGTGGGTAGACAAGTCGAGGGAGAGAGTGAGAGAGGGAGAGATGGCGAGGATGATGTGAGGGCACATACCTGGTCTTGGCGATAGTCTACAAGGGTCGACATCTTCATGGACTTCGGTTCTGCTGCTGACATCAACAGGTCACATTGTCAATTCGTAGGCTGGTAGTAGCTGCATGATAGTAGTTTGGGCGCTGAGCGCCAAGGAGGAGGAGAGGCTCTGGATACTTACGTTAATGATGGCGAGAGCATGCTCTCATTGACACTCGGGTTCAGTGTTTTGGTTCTCCATTGGTGTAATATTGGTGCAATTCAGCTTTCTGGACAGTGTCGGACTTCCTGGCTTTCAATGTGATTTTGCAATCTGGAATCTGTCATTTCACTTTTGCTCATTTTCCTTGCACTTCTCCTCCTCCTCCTCCTCCTCCTCCTCCTCCTCCTCTTTCTCCTCTTTCTCCTCCTCCTCCTGCTGCTACTACTTCTTTTCTTCTTAATTTTCCATTGCTGTTGGCAATCATCATCATCCTCATAACCCCCCCTTTCCAGCCCTCCCCTACATCACAGCCACAAGAAAAACAATAGGTAAGGGTGGATGCTAGCTGACTCAGTCATCCACAGTGCTGGGTGCAGTGCCCCTCACCTGGGTCCGCTGCCCAGCCAGATAGGACCAATAACCTGGTAAGGTTCAAAATAAAATGTACAGGCACTAGCACACAAAGAGTGGTGAAACGGTTTCACCCAGTTAACCCGACATTTGCAGACACAGGGATTCGATCCCTAGACCTGTGCCCTAACCCTGTACATTGACCCTGTGTGCTGAGTGAGATTCGATCCCTAGACATATCTTGTACCCTGTGCATAGGCCCAGCGAGCTGTGTAGGACTTGATCCCTAGGTCTCTAGTATAGGAGTTGAGTCTGTTACCAGTAGGCCTAAAGAGTCTGTTCTAGAAGTCTCTACCTAAGTCTACCGTGGGCCTGGAGTCTGTAGACTCTAGAAGGTCGTAGGTCCCTGTAGGTAGTCCAGTCAGCAGGTACCTGGGTAAGGGCTGCACGTGGGGAAGGTTCTGGAGCATGTGGAGAATTCCACACGTTTTGGCCCAGAAGGCCCACACGTTTGGAAGCTTCCATGCCCAGGTCCACGCATTATGGAGGGACCCAGGCTCACGCGTTTTGGCCCAGGCCCATGCGTTTTGGGGCAGGGCCCAGCCACCTCAGAAGAAATATAAATAAACAGGCAGCGTCCAGCCATTCATTCATTCGCCTGTGTGCCATGTGGAAGAGCTGCCTTGGTATCTTGTGCGTGGACTGCAGGTGCCCGGAGAAGAAGTGGGCTGTGAAGAAGACAGCGGCCATAGTGAACCAGCGAGAGAGAGACACCGACGGCCATAGCTAGGAGGAGGAAGACGACGGCGGCCATAGCCACCCAGCTGTTGGTGTAGACAGGGTGTACAGAGTGTGTGCGTTTGTGCAGCGTGGACATTCAGGGTGATCCTCGTACGTGCGTGCATGTGAGAGTGAGGGAGAGGGAGGCTGGTGGTAGAGAGTGTTCGGCGGCCATAGCCGCAAGGTGTACAGTTGTTCTGAACAGAGTTTAAGAGCAAGTTCGTTGTTGATTCTGAATTCACGAGTTTGGTTTGCCATCGGTTCTAATGTGTGCATGTTGTGAGCAAGTCCGGAGTCGAGTCTGATTGCATCATCATCATCATCCTCATAACCCCCCCTTTCCACCCCTCCCCTACACCACAGCCACAAGAAAAACAATAGATAAGGGTGGATGCTAGCTGACTGAGTCATCCACAGTGCTGGGTGCAGTGCCCCTCATCTGGGTCCGCTGCCCAGCCAGATAGGACCAATAACCTGGTAAGGTTCAAAATAAAATGTACAGACACTAGCACACAAAGAATGTTAGAAGGTTTCGAGCAGTTTGGAGAGAACAGGGCACCATAACAGTGCCCGTCCAAACAGCTTCCCCAGCAACAGTATCACAAGCATCTTTCCAATTCTCTGAACCTCCAATTCTCAATGTGAAAGATGAATGCAACCAGGAAAGACCATGCTCTAATTGCATCTGCGGACGAGGACATGCAAAGAGTATTGCTAAAAAAATGGAGTGTATAGTGCTGACTTTGTTCCTCCCTTGGCACAGGAACTTGCGCTTTCTGCAGCACAAAGGAATCAAGAGAGGTAGATGTTGGGGGGGGGGGGGGGGGGGGGGGGCGGCACCTGTCCAGTGTCCCTGTGAGAAGGATATCTGCTCCGCTTCCAGACGCTTGCTGATACCCATATCAGAGAGCTTTGCACGCAACTGTCTGTTGCTCATTGTGCAAACAAGCACATTCTGAGGCTTCAGATCCCGATGGACAATGCCCACAGAGTGCAGATGCGCCAATCCTGCAACGATATCCCTGCATGTGTGCAGACCAGAAGACAACAGGAATGCAATGGTGTAAAGTTTAAACAAACTGCATCATCACCAAAAAAGGGTATTTATGTAGAATGATATTAGAATCAGATGACACAATTAGTGAGAGCGATGAGATCGTCAATACATCCTCTCGCCAATTCTTTACTTTTGACCCCAGGGTTCACCTTAGTAGCAATCCTGACTCGCAACTCTTTCAGATCACTTTCAAGGCTGTTAACCAATAGTTAACATACGTGAAATAGTTTGGGAGCACTGAGACAATGCAATCAAAGAGGATATCAGCATTACGCAGCACGCGTCCAGCAGGCTCTAATGTCGCCTCATCTAGGTCCTCTAGTCTGCCTCGTGCCTCTACCCTACTCTCTAATCTGGCCTTCCTCATGATTGCTTTTCTTCCCCTCTCTGATGCTTCGTCAAACTGCCGCCGTAACTCATCCTGAAGTTCTTCCGCTTTTTGGATTTCTATGTCCTCAGGTGTGAGTGGAACCTGTTGGCTTACTTGCAAGCCAATAGACTGACTAACTGCACCCGATCCACCCTGTCCAGCTCCTAACGAAGAAGACAGGGAGGTGGACTGCGATGTCGAAGAGACGGTAGCCATCGCAGCCGCTAAGCTGGCTGCTGCGTCCCTATTCCTCCTCGCCGCTTCCCTCTCCCTAGCTTCTCTTCGTAGCCTCCTCTCCTCTCCTGGACCTAACTCCAAGAAAGTCAAAGGTTGACTAAGAGCGGTTCTCCATGTGGTCCTAATGGGTTGCAGTTGCCTTTGCTCCTCCTCACTGCTGTCTTCACTCATGAGCTACGGTGTGTGTGATTTAAACTAGAACTCACACTGAATCCTACCTTAGCGTGACACACAACCGCCTGTGATATACAACTATTATCGGTCGGCTGGAACAGAAACAATCAGGTGATATAGTCACAACTAATGTCAGGTCCTGCAGGATATATCACATCTATTTTTAGATTAGTCTAATACAGATCGCCTTACAGCAAAGAGTCTAGTCTGTCTATAGCTGTTTGTCAGTTGTCAGCAAAGTCTGTAACAACTTACTAATCAAAGATAGAAATAACATCTCCTGCTGGAGATGTATACTGGATGGCAGATTGATTGTTGATTGCAACTGTGAACAGTCACCGGAACCCCCCCTCCCCCTGTATCCTTCTTGAGTGGTCTCTTTGTGTCGACATCCTGAGCATCTGCTTGAGCAGCGTGTCTGAAGGTGTGCAATCCGGCCCACCCCTGTGCCCCAAGTCAACGCCGAACATGCCAGCCCCTGCACTTTTATTTACCCTCGCATGCAACGAGCCTTACACCCGGTTGATCTGGCTGATCAGGAGGGATTTAAGGAGAGCCCCCATCTCCTCAAGAATTATTTAACGTCGCAGACAGGATGACGATCACAGCCAAATTCAAATCCGAGTCCCAGCCAGAAATGTTTAAAGACGGTCTGGAAAGCATCTGTCCAAAAGGGCTGGCATGCCCTGCATGACCTCTATTGCGCAAGCAGCAGAACCAAGGACTTGCGGCAAAGCATGCGTATATTAGTCCCAGCGGGTTGGCATGGTGACCGTGACCCAGGTGCTTCGTCCAGGGCCCTTCAGAGGCTTCGCCCGTCTCCCACCAGCTTGCTGCCCAGGAAGAATGTCGACTCTCAAAGTTGAGCGCTCGCGACACCTCACATCGAGAGGACTCTCAAGACAGAACTCACTTCCTCGCGGTAAGAAGTAACGAAGAGGGTAGATAAGGAAGAGAGCAACGTACCTCATAAATGCTGCCCCCAACCACAGATTTCTCCCCGGCAAAATGATGTGCACTTATGATGACCGGTCTTTGCCTCGGCACAACCAACAGCAGAATGCGGTTCCACCTCGGCTTAATATGCCACATCAGCGAGCTCTCAACGTCCAGCATACACCCCGTATGTCACCACATAGCTCCCTGGCGCGCCCACTCTACTCTGGGCCGCCCAATGTTCAACGCCAATGCCTTATCACTGCCCCACACCTCATGCGAAGCACCAATAGCTATTGCGAAGAACCAATGAAGCGCAATATGAACCAGCTCCGATACCAAATTGCAAGGAAAATAAGCAACATCGAGATGACAAATCCAGATTACACCATCACATAAAAAGCCAGATACTCACACTGTGTCCAGAGAGCAGCATTGCACCAATATTACACCAATGGAGGTTCGTAGTACTGAAAACCAATGTCATGGAGAGCTTCCTCTCTCCTTCAGCAACACAAGAGTCCCTTCACACTCCTACTTGGCGCTCAGCGCCCAGCCTACTCCTACACAGCTGCAATGACTTGCTGATTACGACTGCCGAGATTGACTGCGAGGCTGTACACTAACCGGTAGGGATAGATTCGCAATTTTGTTTGGCTGAGGGCTAACCGAGAGACCTGCCTGTAGGGAAATTCGTGAGGGACAGATCTGCAAATCTGGGAAAAATACAGGCCCAGTACTAACCCGAATTTCTACAGCTACCCTAACTGCCTATAGCAGGCCCGGGCTACCCCTAGGACAGACAGGCCCTAAGTGGCCTATGCTGCTAGTCGGTCCTATAGCCTATAGCCGGGTCCGGTAGAGGCCGAGAGGCCGAAACAGTAACGGTACCGATCGGTCAGTCAGTCCAGTCTAGGTCTAGAGAGTCTATAGATAGGTTAGGCCCATCGGTTCAGGACTTTTGGCAGTTCATTTCTCGCGAAGCAGGTTGGAGAAGCCAAGCAAGTTGGTGGCGGTGATGGTCTGCAGGCCGATCGTGAGACTCACCGTTGACAGCAGCCATAGCCGGCCCTCTCTGAGTCTGCCATAGCTGGGGCATCCTCAGCGCATCTACCCCTGGGGGTATCTGCGTATGGCCGGGCTGTATCGAGGCTCCACGGGGTGTATTCGTGGGTGGTGGCAGCCATAGCTGCCTGTTCCTTCGTCAGAGTTGTCCATCGGCACTGAAGACTTCATCGCCGGACCTGTTCTTCATCAGGGTGGTTGGCACTGGCCTCTGGGAGGACCATCGGATGTGGCGCTACTAACTGGGTGTAGGATAGAGAGTGGGGTGTGAATTCTGAGAGTGGCGAGATACTGGAACAAACTCTGTTACGATAATTGTGTGAGTGGCTCATCATCAGTGTGAATTCCAATTGCGATCTTCGCAGGTTCTTTCTTGTGATTGGTTGTTGGGAGTTGTGTCAGAGAGTGAGAAACACTGTGTCTTCTCTCCCCATCTGTGCATGATTGTCTTCCGCTGCTTATTTTCACCTGTGTGCAGTTTGGACTTTGTCTCCTCTCTCCCCTTCTCTTATGCATGTATGGGCATGTGTGAGATTGTCTGTGTGTGAGTGGCGATAAAATTCGTCAGACAACCAAGTTCATAACAGTTGGTATCGGAGCGAGATTGGATTTGGAGCACTGAGGGTTGAGCGCACTGAGGCATGTTCTTCATCCTGGCGATATACTGGCGAGAGTTTCATGGCGATTCATCTTCCCCAGTACTGAGTCAGCAGGGAAGAAGACTTTCAACGGTGGAATCAGGTGTTCAGTGTGTGCACTGAGCAAGCGCATTGAGCCTGTCAGGGCGCTTGTCAGGAAGTGGTGAGTACAGGGTTAACTCGCCATAGCCAACCCTGAGGGTGATACCGCGAACTACCCCAGAGTGGCGAATTACCCCTGAGGACATCAGGGAACCCTGAGCGGCATCATCCCTGGGTAGCGCTGATAGAGATTGACAGTCTGTGTCAATCTCCTGAAGAAATAACCCCATCTGGGGCTATTTTTAGCATTAGTGGCTACTAGGCACTGTGGCGAGATATTTCAAAGTTGGCATACTGGGCGCCGCTGGACCAGATACAGGGTATCTCAGTTGAGGGAGTGCAGCGCTACAAGATCCTGAGGAGGATCAACAAGTTGGAAGCAGTTTTGTGCGTGGGATTATCAGGAGGAATATCTGGAAGAAATTGGCGAGATTAGGGTATCATCAGCCATAGCCAGATCTTCATCATCACCTGCAAGATTCCCAGAAAGTGAGTCCGTTCCATGCACCTACCTGTATTGCGATCCAGATAGTCTTAGTTTAGTGAATTGTAACGGTTTATCTGTCTGACAGTGACTGGATGTGCAAATCACAGACTGCAAGACAGCCATAGCCATCTCTCCCCTACCTATCTCTGCTCATTTCTCTCCCTCTGGTGACTCTTTCTGGTCCAAATTGGTTTTGTGACTGCTATACTGCATTGTGATTGTTCTGGGATGCTCAAACAGTGAATTCTATACTCGAAAGGTAGTGATACTGTGAATTGCTGTTTTGCGCTGAGTCTATTTTAGCCTGTGCTACCTAGGGTCAGTCATAACTTCAATTCAGTCCGTCATAATTCAGTTCTGTCAGTCCCCAATGAATCGCAATCCAAAAATAGACTATACTATAGAATCGCAGAGTTGGATTTGCAATATTCCACTGGATTCAGTGAATACTGTATTTTGCCATACCCTAGGGTATGGCCGCCAGAGTCATCAGGGTCGAAAATTGAGTTTGAGTCAAGTTACAGGATAACTGTCTGCATCGCTTGTTGTGATCTCTGATGACACTTGCTTTCTAGTAGGCACTGGAATTCTGGTGGGTCTCTGGAAAATGGTCCAGGGTCAGTAAAAGAAAATCGTGTGATTGATTTTACTAGACTTACAGTCTGTCTGACACCTGACCCTAGAGACACCCTTCTAACCCAACCCGCTGATTGCCTATTCACCCACCTACTCCACAGTCTCAGTGTTGCAGCGATTCCAGTGTGTCTGCAGGAATCTGTTTATCGCTGCAGCTCAGGTTGCTGCTTATTTTATTTTGGTCTTTGTTTTGAACAGGGAAAATGTCTGAGCAGGGGACACAGCAGCAGCCACAGGTGGAGGTGGTGATGAAGGTAGAAGGCGAACAACCTTCAACCTCCACGCCCCCTGCTCCACCTCCGACTGCTACTCAGCGGTTG